ACAATGGATAAAACTAAGAGGAATCCTTTGAAGGGAAAAGATTACTGTAATCTGCCGTCAGTAAATTAATGTGATCTGTGTGAGTGCATCATATCAACTGTTGATGGCAGTGTGTAGTAACTTTTCCTCATAGAATGATCTACTTGTGTTCTGTGGTCTCTCCATCTTTGTACTGAGATATCTCAAAACAAAATTTTCCCGTTTATCTTTCTTCTTTATTACGCTATCTCCTTTACAGGATGTTGGCGACATTATGAACAGGATCCTTGCATCCTCGTTTATCTTTGTATATCTCTAAATTAAATTAATATTTAACTTGCATCAGTCTCAATTCTGTAATTGAAGTTGCATGATACACAAAAAGGAAAAATTTTAACAAGTTCTATGCTTCTACTTAAGTTTTCTATAGCTCTTAAAGCAAAGCCTAGCAAAATAATTACCACTTAGTTTGGTAAAGATTAATTAAAGCTTCTTTCAGAATACATGGTGCAAGAACGCAGAAGACAACCATCATATTTACAACCACGAGAATCTCAAATCTCAGAACACTAATTTTGTCTTTTTTCTAACTTAGTTTGGGGTCACAGTGGCCGTGCGGTCTGAGGCGTGGGCCTTGTGCCGCTTGGTCGCTGGGACCATGGGTTCGAATCCCACTCAAGCCATGGATGTCTGTCCGCGTTTTTCTGTGTTGTGCTGTCCTGTGTACAGGTAGAGGCCTTGCGACAGGCCGATCCCTCGTCCAAGGAGTCCTACCGAATGTCTATAGATCGAGCCAACGAAAAGTTGGGACCCGCAGTGCTCGGGTCGTTCCTAGTATCCCCAGTAACTTAGTTAATTTATTTACTGCAACCTGCCAAATTGTGTTTAGTTTTTAAACTTAAGAGTAAAATATGCCTTCAGAGTAACCAAAGGTATCCATTAGAGTTATAAGTGTAAAACATTGTAGTAAAAGCAGAAGAGTGGGAAAAACAAACACACCTTGTTGATATCCTCAGGACATGATTGTTGCCGGGTAGTTTAATTTATTTTTATTGTGAAGTGCAGCTTGCATAGCCATGAGGTGAATTTCTTGTCGGTAATTTGTTACCGGAAGAATTTGTTTTGTGCGCGTGTATAAAATATCAAGCAATGAGAAGAAAACTTTTTCTAATATATAAGGATTTTGTCTCTGTTGATTTTTATAACATGGGGTATGTTTTAAACCCCCCTCCCCACTTCTTCCCACCTTAAGTGAATATGTAAAAATGAATTTGAATAATAAAAGTGTCATAATCTGTTATGTTGTTGCAAACATAAAGAATGAGAACACGTTTTGTCAGTATAAATAAATGTGTATTTTCCAGGATATTTTTGTTTTGGGAGGGATTCAAGATTATTTTTTTTCGTTGATATGGTGGTCGTTCAAATGGAAGTGAGAGGATGTTTTATTTAATGGTTTGGATGGTTAGAGGTAGTGAGTGGTTGAACTTCAAAATAAGTCAATGTTTGTAAAGGCTCAATATACATAGAATGAAAGATTTATATGATGTAAATGGTGTTATTCTACACATTCAGTAATTTGTTGAAATACAGTACTTGCTTAATTATTTTTGTGATTTTCTTATTTTGTTTTTGGTGTTTTTTTTCTTTCACGAGTGACACCTTCATTTGTTTTTTTGTTTTTATTTTTTATTTTCTGTTGTATTTCAAAATCAAAATGATACTTGTGAGGAAGTTAGGAGGAGATTAAATTCCGGAAATGCTTGCTACTTCTCAGTCCAAAATATTTTGTCTTCCCGTCTGATTTCTAAGAACCTGAAAATTAAAGTATACAAAACAGTAATCTTGCCTGTTGTTTTGTATGGGTGCGAAACATGGTCTCTCACTCAGAGGGAGGAACACAGATTGCAGGTGTTTGAGAATCGGGTGTTGAGGAGGATATTTGGGCCTAGGAGAGAAGCACTATGTGGGAAGCCTGAGGGGAAGAGACCTCTGGGGAGACCTAGACGTAGATGGGAGGATAATCTCAGGCGGGATCTATGGGAGATAGGAGTTGAAGGAGACTGGATTTTGTTGGCCCAGGACAGGGTCCGGTGAAGGGCTTTTGTTTAATTCGGTGATGAACCTTCGGGTTCGGTAAGCCATCTAGTTAGTTAGTTAGTTAGTTGTATTTCAAATGAACAAGTTGAACAGCATCCATTTCATTTTATAAAGGTTCACGAATGGAAAGGTTCACCGTGCATGATCGTTCTTTGTTCTTTTGTCATGTCAGTGCTGGAAAAATCAGTTGGAACTCCTTGACAAACAAAGACGTGCGAATCATCAGAATAAATCAGATGTTAACTGAAATTGCTACTCTCAAGTGTAAATTTTCATGTAGTATTCTGTTTATAATTGTCATGCCTGGAATCTTATGGTTGTGAAGAGTGAAAAATCTCAGATGACGTGATATAAGGCCAGTGTTTTATAAAATAAGTTTTCAGCTGTGTAACATGTCAAGGTACAGTGAAAACAGAGGCCCGTAAACCTGCAACATTTCATCAACAGAATTCTTAACAGTTTTTCTGCGGTAAATGTATTTCACAGCCGGCAAGTCTTGTTGATTTTTATGGATGCCTAATAAAGGACTGACACTTTCCACCGTAGAGTTACTCGCAGTTGGTTGACGAGAGCTTTTCGCTTTACACAAACCACCTGTTCCACAGAACTGTTTGTACTGTGCATAAATTAATGGTTTAGAAGGTGGATTCTCTCTGAACCCCATTTGACATAATGCTCGTTTCATAGATTGGCTTCATTAAATCACAGAGCACGTGGTGAGATTTCAGGTTCTGATGGTGACATACTGCCCTTATGACGAAACATCAGTTTCTACCAGACTACATGTTTCTTCATCTCAGAAGACAGTCATGTTTACAGGATGCATTTTACTTGTTGATATTTTCTTGACTGCACGGACAGACTGGTTTGACAGTTTGTAGTTTCATATCTGAAAGTCCAACTTTTGTATATCATCTTTGGTTGCATCACAGTACATTTACAAAATGTTGAAGATCACCTGTGCTCACCTTGTATTGTAGTGAGTGTTATGTCTTTCACATCTAACTTCCTTGAGTGATACAATATGCATTTTTGTCTTGTGCTACAAGAAAATGTTAATCAGTGAACATATTGAGTAAGTTGTTGTTAGTTGATATTCTTAGATCATTTTGTCTGCCAGGAAAAAAGATTTATATACAAGAAATATTTTCATTCACATGTGTTTTAACCTAATAGTACAAAGAATGGCTCCTTTGATTTGTTATTGGCCACCTTAATTACATATCTGGCTGATTTTGGAGCTAAACATAAAATTTCTCGAAGTCTTAAATTTTAAATATTAGCATTTGAATAGAAATTATTAATATCAAGGGTAATGGTGACTTGGTATATCATTTTTGTTGGATATTGCACAGTGTCAAAGGAAAGTGAACTTAAATTTTCTCGATTCTCCGAAAGACTCGAGATGTGAGGAGCAAATATGGGAAATTTAACATTTTATGTTGGAACACCAAATAAGGGAGAAGCTTAAATCAAAAAACATTAAAGGAGAATTCGTTTTTAACCCACTTCTGTTTATTTTGTAAGGAAAAGTGAGGTTATGTCATTTTGTTATGTTATATTTAAATGAAGTGATGGATTTTCATGAACATGGATTTGACCTTTGTACATTTTAATTCCGGACTATCCATAATATTGTGGGCAATAACATATCTTTTAAAATTAGTTAGTATTTATATAGTCTAAAAATAATGGCAGGTGTGCAAAATCTGTTCTTACTCTAGTTTTCAATTTGTTATTAATTTTACCTGACGTTTTGCAAGGGAAAAACGTAGATCAATGGTTCGAACCTAAAAGAGAATTTAAATGGAGGACAGTGGAAATTGTTGCATGTTTGAGTGAGATGAGAAAATCATACACAAATTTGGTTGGAAAATTTGAAGGGAAGGGACAAGATAGATATGACTGAGAGGATAATAATATATTTAATGAGATGAACCCAAATTAAATTATTTGAGTGTCGTTCAGCTTCTCAGGAAGAACTCTTTTCTTTCTTCTGTTGTGTTCGTTGATGTTGATTTTTGTTGAGCTGCGGATTTAGGCATGTCCAGTCTTCTGCGGAGATAGACTGCACACGTTTTCAGCGTGACAAACAATTCTTCACATTTTTTATGATTGGTGGAGAATTTATTACATATGCAGTACACATTTATTCATAGCTCCATCAACACACATCAATTTATTATTTTCTTTTGGGTGTTATGGACTCGGATGCTCCAAATTTACATTTTAAAAAACTACTCGTTAACTAAACAACATATTGTGACATTCTCATACTTTTTATTAATTGCTGTAGCAGCTCATTATATATAGTATATACTTAATTTTGCTTGGCTTCCTACAGGGTGTTTAGAAACCAAACCCAATATTACGCAGTTGAAAACATTTATTTCATTAAATACCCTAGAAAAACTCTTAATATGACTGATTATTGGGGTTCACAGTGCGCAGTCGAGGTACAAGTGAGGGTGAGCAAACTGCGGCCGCTCTTTGGGCGCTAAGAAAGAATTTCTAGTCCTTTTTACGAATTAGCCATATTTTGATCTCGTGGATTGTGCATGTTAACTAACATTTTAAAGAAACTTCAAACCTGAAGGTGGAGTCGGCAAGTTTCTCCAAAAACACTGGTAAAAATCACCTGCAAGACCACAATCAAAATCCTACGAATTGTTCTCAGTCAGAAATTTCTTCATCTCTGCTTTACCTTCGTCAGCCCAATGCAGCCTGGCGGTGGACGTGAACCCGTATGTCTGAAACGTCGTTTGTACCACAAGGAAAAGAAGAATAACGAAAAGAAGAAGGAGAGGAAAGAAAGGAAGGA